CCTCCTGGTGACCTAGTTTGAGCTACCCTACTCAAGTCCTGTCCTACCCTTCTTGTTACGCCCTTGCTAACTTGACCGTTGGAATCTCTGCCCATGGGATAACACCCGGTAACTCTGATGTGCCTCTTCCTCTACAGGCTGGACTTATAGGTCGTTGGCTCTATGAACCCTCAGACTTATCAGCCAGCCCTGGTCTCAGAAACGTAACTACATTGTTGCCCTCAGGGAGCAATAGTAAGGAGCCCATGTTTACTTAATAGCAATCTTTTGTTACCAGAGATTCTTTATAATGTCCTTTATAACTACTTCCAATAACAACACATACGAGTTTTCGTCTTAGAGAGAAGATAAGGAACATAAAATTGGGTTTTGTTTCAAAATATTATAAATACTACTCGCGTATGGAATGTGGCAGAGAACTAATGGATGGGAGGTGTTTTTAATATTGTGAATAATCCCGGGAGTACTTCAAACAATTTTGCAAATGTTAAAAGTAAATTTCTTAAAACCCAAGTGAAGTGTATTAGTGTATATAACCCTCGATGGATGTATGCATTATTATGTCAAAAAGAAAGATATTGGCGGCAGAAAACCAAGGTATAGTGGGTAGGAGAAGGAGACAATAATTCAAAATTTTTTCATGCTAAGGTCAAAGCAAATCGTCAATGGACATCTCTCCCCAACATTTACTCGGAGGATGGTACACCATTAACAAACTTAAATGAAATCAAAGCTGAGGCTGTACGCTTCTTTAAGAAGGTGCTCACAGCCGAAACCCCGGGCCCTCATGAAGATTTATTAGCAGTTATTCCACCCATGGTTATGGAGGAAATGAATGAGGTGCTGTTAAAATGGCCTAGCTCTGATGAAATCGGGAATGTGGTGTTCTCCTGGTCCAAGGTCCAACAGATGTCTTTTCTGGGTACTTTTTTACGCATTGTTGGGATATCATAGCAGATGACTTGTTGCGTATTGTGAAAGCCCTCCCCACTACCTATGTGCAGATGACACTACAACATTTACAAGGGGTTCAAGGACTTCACTCCTGAAGTTGATGCACTTTCTGTCCAAATACGAAGAGGCTTCAGGTCAGAAAATAAACAAAGCTAAGAGCGCATTTTATGTATCTTCGAAATCTAGTCCAACAAGAATAGCCATTATTGGATTAGGCTTATGGAGAAGATAGGATTCGGGACTTTACAGCTCTTATGGAGAAGATAGAATCGAAGATTGCCTCGTGGCAAAGTAAATTACTTTCAGCTGGGGGTCGTGTGGTTCCAAAAGCATGTGTTATCCACGATGAGATGATGGCTTTTGATACTACATTGCCTAGAAAAGAAGTTCAGACATGCACTTCCTAGCTTTAATTGGAGTGCCACTAAACACAACTGGGTGAGGTGGTCCAAAGTCTACTGTACTATTGAGGAAGGAGGGCTTGGATTTAAATCTCTCAAGGACCTAAACAAAGTGTATGTGTTCAGACTTAGAGCATTGTGGAGGGCTCTCACTGGAAAAGGCATCTGACCGAATTATTTCAAAGGGATAATTCCTCCAAAATAGACACCACTACTATATCGACACGAGGGGAGGATCTTCGACTTGGAAGTCTAACTGTAAATTGATGGTGGTGGTATTGAATAACGTTAACTCACAATGGCATATCAGACGTGGTGCGTTCAGTCTCCTTCTGGTTGGATAAATGGTGTGATATAGGCCCGCATATTCAATATGTTGAAGACACAGTCCAGATAGGTAAGGCTAGCTCTAACTGTTGCTATGAGATGCTCAATCTATAAGGGATATGAGACTGGAACCGGATCGTGGGTAGTTGATAGCCAGTGGATAGAATATATTGAAAGTAAAAGACTCTCACTCTCGGATGGGCCTGATATTTGGTGTTGGACTACGAGTACTTCGGGCTGTTTTTCTTGTAAATCTGCATGGAATGTCATCCAGACTAGGGAACCGAACGTATCGTGGGCTAGAATTGTTTGAGTTAAAATAAAACAAATAGACAAGTGGTTGAAATCCAGTTCGATGTGTTAGGCAATGTATGCCCTTAGCTCCAATCAGAATGATGTACATATCCATTTATTGTAAATGAAAAAGTACATAATTGATTCATGTTATAATTGGTGCATTTCTGTATAATTACCCTTAAATTGGACACCTATGAGACTCGTGTTAGTTTAGAATGTTCTCAGTCGTTGGATAGACATAGGGAAGTTTATCCTACCAAGGTTGACACTGATGTGCTACCAAGAAGGTTGTGGTAGTTTGTCTCAATTGCCAGGGTTGGACCCGATGCACATGCAGTGTGTGTGTTTGTTTGAAACCTTGAACCCAGACTAATTTCCAATTATGCCCTGGACTTTGGAGACTAGTGGGCAAAACTTGAAAGTTATACCTAACCCCTAGACTAGATTATGGTATTGCACTTGGTGTCGGATTGGGCTGTCTTTGATATGTCAATCAGTGACATCCTTCGGGGGTCAAAACCTGGGTATGTTGGGGTAGTCTGAGAATTCACTCGAGTGCGTAATCATAGTGACAAGGTCAACCCATTTGTCGGACAAAGTGAATGATCGGGACTGCACTCTCTCTAATGGAAACCAAAACTGTCGGTAGTCGATTTCAACCATGTTTGAGATTTGTTTTGCAATATATATATATATATATATATTATGTTTTAAGAAAAAGGTTTGCAAAATGTTTTAATTCCCGAGACCCATTCAAGCAGAGAGTGCAACACTGCATCTTGTAGCCAGTGGAGAGGTCCCCCTTGTCAGGTAGTGTTTGATCCTTATGAGCTGCGAGGTTAAGTGTAAGAGGCCATTTAGAGTTGTTTTACTTGATGGGCTATATTTCACTTAAGTCTATTATCATTGGGCTTTCATAGGATGGTTAGATTCAATGATCATTTAATGTAAATGTTGGGCCCATTAAGAGCTCATACTGGACTAAGGGGTTCATTGTACTTAATAGTGAATTCGACTAGGTTTCTTCACAGAAGGTGGGCCGAACCCATATGGGCTTATATAAAATCATTGTTGGGGTCCCACGCCATACAAAGAGAACCAAATGGGCCAGCAACTACCTATGGACGTGAGCCACTTACTTAATGGGCCTAAAGCCCTGATTAATCAAGTGGTCATATTACATCTTAAGCAGTCGTGTGGCTTGGGCGAATATGGGTTTGGATATGGGTCTGGATCAGCCATTAGGATAAGAGGATAAGTCTTATCCACTTAGAGAGTCCAAATCCAAATAAAGGTTTGGATTAGGAACCTCCTAATTCGATTAGGAGTGGTGATCCTTAAGGCTTATAAAAGGAGGGCGAACTGCTCTAGTTATCAATTTGCTCATAGTTCTCTCTTTCTGTTCTTGCTGCCCCAGAAACCCTAGTTTGACCTCCAATTCTTGAACTGAGAAAGATTAGTCCTGAATTTTGATTTTTGCAAGAAAATATTAGATTCAATTCGTGCTCACCTCCCTTGCTCGACCCAAGCTGTTGGATTATAGTTTTTGCTAAAAAACTATGTTGCTGAATCGGCTTTAATTCTAGTTGTGTCATCTCTTTGGGCGTGAAGTACCACTTTGGGAGCTACATATGTGGAATCTGTATCAGGTATTATTCTCCTTTTCTTTTGGTTTCAAATCCAGTTTGATTTCGGTGCGAGAATGATCCTAGAAAAAGCAGTTTTTCTAAAACTGAGAATACGATTCCCGGAAGGGTGAAAGAAATTTTTGAAATTTTGCCCAACCATCTAGCATGGTTCAGCCATCCATATGATGGATTTCCCCTTCCTTTAGTGGTATCAAAGCCAAAGGTTCAATCTTGAACTGAAATAAACTAGATCCGAAACGAAACCCAAATCGGTAGAACTATTCTACCCAATTTGCGCAGTTAGCAGTTTTCTAAGAAATTGATTCTTAGATTTTGGGCAATTTGATCTAAAATTAATTTTGTTATATTCTGATATAATTTTATAATTTTTCTATTATTATTTCTTGGGTTTTGGGGCTGTTTGTGCGATGGATATTGAATTCTTTAATTGGCGCCAAGATCTGCATACCCAGGAATTATTTATTTGATCATTAGTCTGTAAATAATTTTTTTTTCTTTTTTCAAAAAATGTCTTAGGATTTATTCTGATGTAATTAATATAAAATTAGGTTTTTCTTTTTTTTTTTATATTGGAAGACATTATGGAGTGCGTGGAGAAGAATAAGGAGAATTTTGTAGAAAAATCCGCAATCTGCGATTAACAATTTTCTTGCAAGTTTGCAGTTCGTCCGGATCAGATTTAGACCATCACACTTACAGCCATAGATTATTTATTATTTCTGTGATTGATTGTCGTATCTTTGATATAGGACAAAGACCTTAAATTTGATGAAAAACAAATGTGTTCAACAGTAATTCTTTAGGCATAACTAATTCCCCTTCCTATTACTATTTACTAGTAGTTAAGAAAGGATATATTTCTCACCCTTAACATTTAATAAAAAACTTGTTACCATACTTATATTTAATTCTAGGTATGGGTTTTCTATTGAAGTTGTTCTAGTGATCATTTTAAAGAATTCAGGGAATGTTCCAGACGGTAGTTTGATTAGGGGCTAAAAAGGGTCCCCCTGGCTCCCCAATTCTCCATTCATGGAGGAAGCTCCTCAAAAAACGACTGCCATTTGTTACATTAAATGCCTTTTCTTGTTGGCATTTCATGTATCAAAAATGAAATTAAATTCAATGGTGTAGCTTCAAAACAAGGTGCAATTTATGGTTATATATATATCACTACAAGAAAAATGATCTAAACCGGCGGTTTAGAATTGGTGGTCTTAAGGACCACCGCTATAGAGATAGCTGAGCTGGCGTTCCTCCAAAGACCGCCACCTAGAAAACTAAAATAAAGAAAATAAAAATCTGGGCGATAGTTTTTGATAACAAACACAACGCTTTTTCATTTGAACCGGACTTAAGCCGGTTTAAATAGTTGGCCTCTTGCATTGAGAGAGGGAGGGAGAGAGAAAGCAAAATGCCAAAAACATTCCCGCCTCTTTCTACTTCGTGCATTCGATTGAGAAAAACTCTGATGAAGAAGGAGAAGGTAAGGGTTCTTCTTCTTCTTCTTCTTCTTCTTCTTCTTCTTCTATGTTTTCTCCCATTCTAGGGCATCAATCAATGAAATTGAAAATTGTTTTCTTTAGGGATTGATCGAAGGTGCCATTCATGCAATCTCTGAACCATTTATTGACTCTGAAGGGTTCAACCTTCTCCCTCTAGCTAGGATGTCCACAAGGAACTGGTCGATTGAGAAACCCAACTGAATGAGTTGTTCATCTGTATGGTCTAGGATCTAGCCTCCCTTATCTAGTGCCTGAACTGCCTTGAATCATCAAAAGATTTGAGCATCTGCCCTATGACCACATAAAAGTCTCCCTCAACCTAGATTCGTTTTGCTAGTAACCCTTAGGTTTTCTGTTTTGAGGAAACCAATTTTTTGGTCTTTAATCTTTGGCTCTAAGCACTGAAGGTTATTCTGTTTTTCTCTATTTACCTCACTTGCATAAAAAATGCATGAGTGAATCAATCAATTGATCGGCAAAATTATACTATAGCTAAATCTGGTGTTGAACCATCAGATTATGTAGAACTTACAAAACATGTTAAGCTTGGTTTCCCAAATCTCAAATTTTTAGGCCTAATGATAATAGGAATGCTGGACTACACATCAACACCAGAAAAATTTAGGGTAATAATTTTGGAATATGCATTTTACTCAGTTTTAATGCTTTATTATTATTTAAATTTCATTTGTCTAATTGCTTGTTTATGTCGCGGTGAGACAGACATTGCCAAATTGCAGGATTGAGGTATGCAAATTACTTGTAATAGCAGAGGAACAATGCGAGTTGTCAATGGGGATGTTTGGTGACTTCGAGCAAGTAGTAAGGAATATAACTTTTAATTTTGAAACTTAAATACCAACCRGTGGCTATAACTTCTGATTTTYARCCACTTTGTCAAACTTAAAGGAAGATATTAATTAAAACATGAAATTGAAAGTAGATACTATCCTTACAGATTAGTTGCAATAGGTCTTGCCTTTTCAATATTATCATAATGTGATATTTTGCTTACAAAGAGAAAGCATCAAAAGTATGCAATCGGAGATGTATAAAAGAGTATATGGATAAATTGTTAGCTAGTCTGTGTCAGTCTCTCTCTACCATTTAATTTCCCATGGACTACATGCTTGTATCATGAACATTATCTTTGATATTAGTAAAGCTTATCCTATTTGATCAGGGGGAAAAGGATCAGTAATATAACATACTTTACTAGCTTTCTGAGGATTTTGATCCTCATTGAGTTAGATTGTTTCAGTGAAAGCACATTTGTCAATTGTACTTGAAGAAACAACAATAAGATTAACTTTTGTCGAGCACTTGTAAAAATAGAACTATTTGAACAAAAGCTCTCAGCCATTAAATATGTTTGAGATTGGGGTTTGGTGTTAGTTGGTCTCCACTGATGGTATATGGAAGGTGGGTCTGGGTGCTATTAGAATTGAAAATTGTTGAGTCTTCTATTGTGTATCATGGACATGTGGTTCGGTTCAATGCTGATGCCATTTTAACTGTATGGTTGTCTCAATGAGTATCAATCAGGAGCTAAGGATTAGAACTTTTTATCTCTTTTGCAAATTGAAATGGGAAGTACCAATGTGAGAATATGATCAACCATAKTTGGACCATGGGAGTAGCCAAAGAAACAAGCAAACTAAGCATGTTAGAAGTCTGATGCTCATCCCCAAAGAGTGATTTTGTACCTATTTAGAAGTCTAAGCATGGTGATTTTGCACCTAATTTATTTTAGACAAACTGGTGGAAAATGATTTAAACACAGGGCTCCTCTCATGTAGCTAACAGTGGGTATGATATTAAACAAATTGGAATGGTGAACTGGGATTCATGAAGCTGACTCGTATAGTTGGGACAAGGCTTAGATGATAATAATAAACTAATGGAAAATATTTCTAAAATGAACATTGTACATTTGTAGATCTGATGTAGGATCTATTGGACCAAAATCCAACTTGATTAATTGGATCACCTCTAACCATCAAATTGATGGATGATTTTCCAAAGAATTTCATCCTAGTTTTTAAACCATTTAGAAAAGATTCAATAACATTATTATTTAATTTAATTGACTTTTTTAGTGTAAAATTGCCTAATATATAATCTAAACAACTAAATGTTTAATTTTAGTAAAAACCTAAGATCGCCACCCATTCACCTTACACATAAGTTAAGAAAAAGACTTAAAAAAGATTTTATAAACATATGAACAGGGAAAGGTTACAACATTGTGATCTGTTGTGTTCTACATCTATCTATATCTATTTTATATTCTATATTTATCTTTCTAATTTTATTTTCTTTATTTTTTTTGTTAGGGGAAACAGGATACTTTCTTTTATTGATAAACAACAAAGTGTTTGAATAGGGAAAAGTTTACAATTTTAGCCATTCTATATTCTTCTATTCTCATTTATATTTACTCTAGCAATACAAACCATTCAACTTTTCACTATTAATTTTATCAATCTATTGATTAGACAGCTTACATTTTTACCCCAAAAATCCATCAAGTGAAATATATTTTTAAAAGTAGGATATTACACTAAGAATAGTCTAGGATCTATACCTATATTCCTTGTGCTTGGTGAGTTTGTGTATACCAATCATATATTTTTCCCTTCTATTATTTGATTATTTGATTTTGTTATTATTTGAAATTTTATTATAATTAGATACCATTGGTATATAATACAAATCAACACATGAACAAAAGTTGCTTTTAGTATACTTTCTTGCATGAATATTCGAAAAAATGTGATTATGATCTAAAGAAATGTTAGTTATAATAGCACAGAGAAATGTTTATAATCAACACATCCACTACAAGAAAATAGAGTTCTAGTGGCAGTTTTCGACTCGGCTGTTTGGCGACTGCCGCCAGAAAGATGGATTTGTAGTGGCAATCGATTAAAACTGCCGCTAGAGTCCAAACGACTGCCGCTACAATTGACGCCTCTCCCGCCCTCTCTCTCCCACTGAAAATATCCACGCCTCTCCTGCCCCTCTTTCTCTCTCTCTCTCTCTCTCACACTCCGAATCATCCCTCTCTCGCTCTGTCTCTCACTCAGTCGTCTCTGTCCTTTTCTCTCTCTCTTAGTCTGAATCATTCCTCTCGCGATCTCCCTCGCTCTCAGTCATCCTCTCTCCCTCTCTCTCGCTCGGTCGTCTCTTTATTTCTCTCCCTCAGTCGTCTCTCTCTTTCTCCCGCTCTCTCTCTCTCGCACTCGTGCTCTCTTTATCTCTGTCTCTCTCACACACGATTGGACATCAGCGATTCTCTCTGTCTCTCACGGTCTCTCTCTCAGATACATCCACAGCTTTTGGTTCACAAGTAATTCCTATATATGTTGTCTTTTTTCTCTATTTGTTAGGGTTTCTTCATTATTTCCACCACTTATGCTCTGTATTCTTTGATAAATGCTAATTTAGTCTAAGTATTCGCCAAGGAGGTACTAAACTTCTCTCTTGCCGTCTCATTCGCATTCCTCTATTTTTTTTTTATTTTGTTCATCTATTTTGATTGAAAATTTTACTAGCTGTTATTTTGTTCCTAGTCAGCCAACTACATGTGCGATGGCAATAATTTGRTWAACCTAGCTTGGTGGTAATAATTTGGTAAACCTTGTTATTGTTATTGTTATTCAATGTATACAAAGTGGCTTGCAACTAACAGAGCACTGCCTTATCAACATAATTCTTGTTTCGTAGTTTCTGTTGGAACCCTGTTTTCTGAATTAATTCTTGACAAATTTTCAATTAAATTACGTATTCTGAAAGACAAAACCCTTATTACTGTAGTATTTTTTAATATTTTGGGAATTTGTGACACCAATCGATTCGGCGAAGTTACC